TGAGGCTCTGCCTCTCCCAGGTCTCGGGTGGGCACCAGGCACTGACCCGGGTAGAGAAAGATTTGGGCACCGCGTAAACAAGTTCATTGTCAGAGTCAGAGGTAGGAGTGCAGAGACAGATTGTTCAGTGATTTCATTATGCAGCTACAATCCCCTACTATAACTCGGGTTTCTGGAAGGAAGAACAACAGAGGAGTTTAACTCCGAGGAAACCTCAGTTTCCTTAACGTTTCCCCCCACCGAAGCAGGAAACAGGCTGATTAAATAACTAGGCAAACGTTAATGAACCAGCAAAAGAGAACAAAAGTTTCTTATATGTTGAAATCTTACGATTTAAAAAAAAAAGGGGGTTGAGGGCTTTAGTTGTATTAGGACTAATTGTGTTAGGATAACTTTATATCCCACATGTCTGAGTATAAAAATTGACATTAACTATTATGAGAAAATAAACACAGATGATGGGATCTGAGTAACAGTATTGCCTGTTAGGACTTAGCATTCTCCTTTCCAACTCTCCTAAGGCCTTGTTCATATAGTAGTATCTGTTAGATATTGACAGCTATGGGACAATTTAATATGCAGGTTCGGGAATTATTTACTATAGATTGAAAAAATAGAAAAATATAGTAAGAATAGTTAGCGTTTTCCTGAGAGCTTACTATGTGCCAGACACTTTACCAGGGATTCTACACAGAGCATTTTCAGTCCTCAAAAGTGATTACCTCATGATTCCTCAATTTTATGGAATAGGAAAGTTCCCTACCTAATAGTAGAGCCCTGCGTTGAAGCATTTTGCAAATGAGGAAACTGAGAGCCTAAGAGTCCTGAGAGGGTCATACAGCTGTTAGTAAGATCACAGAGGTTAGGACCCAGCTTTGAAATCCCAGTCAGGTGTTTTAAACACCAGGCCAAGAGGAAGCAGCCTGGCAAGGCTGAATGAACAATGCACTCCTACCAAACGTTTCTTGATATCACATGCCATAATTAAATAATGACTATGGTTCATATTAAAATGCTAATTTAGTGGCCAGAGGGTACTGGGCCTATTTATAGACAGATCAATTACAGATTTTGGGTTCATTACCAACTTTCAATAAATGAATTCTACACCTTCTCCCCAAACACACACAATTAGCCATAATTGTCCGAAGGAATAACTAGAGTACTGTTTCTGTTTCCTAGTTTCCATAGCAATGTCTTAACTGGATTTTTAGATTGCATTATGTAGTTGCCTTAACAGTTTTCTGAGTTTGTGTGCTATGATAACAATATAAAAGAAAAATATTTCAATTAAAGTGGTGGAAAGACCCAAAAAGCCAATGCAAAGTGGAAAAAAAAGAGTATAAATTCAAGTAATATGTTATATATTTTCAATACAGAAGTTTCCTAGTTTCCATTTATTGACAAATTCCAATCCAATTTTAAAACAATTAAATACTATCATTTTGATTTATTAATCATAAATTAGATAACATTTAATAAAAATAACATGACTAAGAACAGCATAGCTAAAAGTATCTGTGTGTGTGAAAAACAAATAATTAGTTTTTAAACACCACCTAGATAGGTTTGATCAGGAAGAGGAGTACAAGTAATTTCACATATTTGAAAATAGAAGCAGATACTTTAAAAAGGCAATAGGAGTTCTGTGATTCAGTTTTGGTTTTGTGGCAAAGTTCAATATTTGCTGTTTAACTTTCCTTGGGTCCATGGCATGGATGACACACTGTATGATGAAGTTCTGTTGGTATTTTCCTAACCAAAACAAACCCCTGTGGTTGGCTAAGCCAACACCTGTTACCAAATATTTTCTTGCCTGTTTCCGCTCTTGGGGCTGTAAAGGAGAAATGCTGGCTTTCCCAGACTCCTTTACAGCCAAACATGACTATGTGGTGTAATCCTGGCAATGACGTTAAGCTGAAGGTTGTTGGTGGAGACTTCTGTGAAACAGTTTAGTTTCCTGATTAAAAGGATCTAAGAAACTGGTGCCACCTCTTCCCACTTCTTGATTTCATATATCATGCTGAGCAGAGAGCTAGCCATCTTGCGACTATGAAACGAAATTGGCTCTGACATTGCTGAGCTACAGCACCAATGTCAGTAGACACCTGCTTCCAGATTTGTTTTGTGGAAAAACACTTGTTCTAGACACTGTTAGCCAGCTTTTCTTTTCTTGCGGCCAAAAACATTTAAAACTGATATACCCCTCAAATGGGGAGCAAGACATCTCTAAGACTGAGTTTAGCATGGTAGTTAAGAGTGTGGGTTTTAGAGCCAGATAGGCTGGATTTCAATCTCAGTTCTGCTGCTTGCTAGCTATATGACTATAGGCCAGTGGCTTAAAGTCTCTGTAGCTTATCTGGAAAATGAGGCTAATAATAGGATTATTGTGAGAATGAAATGAGGAACTAGCTATAAGTAAAGCACATGGAAGAGGTCTAGTAAAATATAAGTGCTTGAAAGGCATGAACTATCCCTATCCACATACTTGTGGATAACATAGTGCTAAACTATAAACGGGATCTCTTTTCTTAATCCTAAAATGGGCCCAATGGTAACCATGGTGAAGGGAAAGAGGAATAGCAGTGTCCTGACACATCCTTTTTGCTTTCCCTTCAACACCTTAAAATTTGGATCTTATAAGGTACGTTTTAAGTTCATTCACATGGTGCTGTTTTTGAAACAAAAATGAAAGCATTCTTCTTAGAACAGGGGCTTTATGCTAGCAGCCTGTGGAAGGTAGGGCCCATAGACGTGCACAGGCCCACAGAATGTTTTTTTAAAGTTTGAGCTTCAGTAGACAGAACATATGTTCTGCAGTTTGCCATTGTTGTACCATCCTCTGTTGCAATCCATCCAGCCTACCTCTGATGTTGATGTCATTCTGTCCTGTAGACATTAGGATTTGTAATTCCTGTCTTAGAATGTTTTTTTCTTGGATTCCTGCTCTCCCCAACTTTCTGATCCTGTTGCCCCTATTATTGTGTTTATGGAAAATATATCTCTCAAAGGATAAGAAGAAGAAACATTATTTAATAACTTCTCAAATAATTTCTATGGGAAATACATTTCAGGGATGTAGGAATTCTCTTTTCTTTTAGAGATTATATCCACATTATAATATTGAAGATTGTGAAATTCACATGGAAAAACAAAACAGACAAAAAAAACCCAAACATGCTTTTTACCCTATTAAAAGCCTCAGTAGCAATTTTCTGTAAAATTAGCTTAATAGGTAGTAGCATACTTTGGGAAATCTCGCCTTAAAGAGTAGAAATGCCAGCTACAAAGAGTTAGAACAGAGCAATTTCAATATGAACTGCTTTTATGTCAATTTGTATTGGTCATTTGCTTGTGGCTAGGATCTCTAAAAATAAAATGTGCAATGCTAAGTTATCTAAAAATATTACTAAGTTTATTCAATATTGAGGACAAGTGCAAGATAGCTATGCTCTTTTTTATAACACTTTATTAAATTTATTGGAGTGACAGTGGTTAATATGAATATATAGGTTTCAGGTGTGGGTTTCTATATTACAAGATCTGTATATTGCTCTGTGTGCCCACCACCCAAAGTCATATCTTCTTCCATCACCATATATTAAGACTCCCTTCACCCCTACCTCCACACACCCTTCCTTCTGGCAACCACCACTCTGCTGTTTGTGTCCATGAGTTTCAGTTTTGTATCCTACATATCAGTGAAACCATACTATTCTTAGCTTTTTCTGACTGACTTACTTCACTTAGCATAATATTCTCAAGGTCCATCCATGTTATGAATGGCAGTATTTCATCCTTTCTCATGGCTGAATAGTATTCCATTGCGTACATGTACCACATCTTCTTTATCGAGTCCTCTATCACAGGACACTTTAGTTGTTTCTGTGTCTTGGCTACTGCAAATAATGCTGCAATGAACATAGGGGTGCATGTATCTTTGTGAGTACATGTTTTCGCAAAGGGATTGCTGGGTCGTATGGTATAGCTCTATTCTTAATTATCTGAGGAATTGCCAGACTGCTTTTTATAGTGGTTGTACCAGTCTACATTCCCACCAGCAGTGATGAGGGTTCCGTTTCCTCCACAACCACTCCAACACTTGTTATTGCTTGTCATGTTGATAATGACAGCTATGCTCTTGAAGCTACAAGTATGATTTGAATCAGAAGACCTGAGAGACTGGAGGCAGGAAAATTTAAAAATAAATTACCATTTCCAACAGGTTATAGTAATCTTGTTAGTGATTTGGTCCATTTTCACATCCAGCTTATAAAACATACAA